ATACTGACAAACCTAGCGACTTTTTTGGATAAACCTTAGCTATGGTTCAGTTGGAAGATTTTGCCAGTGCTGTCCCGCGAACGCGAGGTCTGACTTTCCCGGAGAAGTGTCACCTCTCTCGGCATCTGTTCTGTGCAGTGAGCGGCAGAGAAGCAGCGCATTCAGTTGGCCGCACCGCAGCCGACTCGTCAATGAGTACAAAACAGTGTTTCCTAGCACCTGTCGCTTACTGATTGTTTGGAATTATAAATATGAGAGTAGTTCACCTGTTAATATCACATGTACTTTTTTGTTTGTTGTTTTTTTTTTGTTTGTTACTCAGACGCAGGCAGTGCGCTGCATGAGACAAAAAAGTAATATAGCCGCTCTTTAGTGTAGATGCATGTTGATTTTATCAGACGATGCCACGATTATAAATGAGTGACTCCTGGTTAACATGTATTAATGGGTCGTGTTTAGTCACTATTTAGTATGGTATTTTTTTGACAATATTCACTCATCATGACAGTAAAACAGGGCATTCCAAGTCAATATACTGCAGTTAGAAAGAAAATATGGTTAACACCTGGTCATGCATGAAAAAAAAAAAATACCGTCATGTACCGTGAAACCGGTATAATTTTGAAAAATACCGTGATATACATTTTTGGTCATACCGCCCAGCACTACAACTAATACAGTTAATTTTGTTAGGGTAAAAATATGGTGCTCATGGTGATGCTGAAAAACCCCAAATCTTCCTCAGACAGGTTGACAAACTGGATTCTTGTGGATTGGATAGGTGCTGGTGATATTATGATCAGTTATATGGGAATAAAACAACGAGATTTGTTGAATATGACCTATTGAGTCTTTTGTCAGCTACAATTATGCAATGTCTTCAGTGAATTTATTTATTGAAATGATCAAATCATCTTCATTTGTGTGCTTGCATTTTAAAATATGCAATTACTTTTTTTTTTATTGAATGACAGCCCTAATATTTACAGAAATGCTAAATCCTAATGTTTTCTTGGCATTAACAGCTACAACTTCTCTTCCAACTTGTGTTTGGCATATTTCTTACCACTGACTCTTTGTGGTTGAATCACACTCCACTTCTGCCTTTAGTGACTGCTGTGCTGCTGCTGTTTGCACAGAGCTCTGTCTGTTCTGTGTTGCTTCCACCTTCTCTGCATTCTGCTTGGATGCCACTGAAGTGGTAGCAATGGATTGGTTGAAGAAGGGCAATGGAATATAAGTAGCATTTCCATTTGCCAGCACATCAGTGCATTTCTGCTCCTAATATCGGCAGGAGGTATATAATAACATTGTTATTGTTCTTATTTACCAATCAAGAGTCTTAAAGGCAATGGAACCACTGTATACAACTTTAATTTACATGCTGTGTTAGAGTGGAAATTATAAAATGATGAAGCAAGAGAGATTAATGCTATGACAATCTTCTGACCTCAGTACTACTGTGCTCCTCTCCATATACCTCCTGTTGAGCTCTCCTCCACTCATCCTCCAACTTCTCCTGATCACGTCGATACTTCTCCTGAAACCAATGCAGACAAAAGTCCACTAGCAAACATTTATTGATTTTTTTTAATTAGCTTATTACATTGAAAAGCTTTACACTTTAGAATAGTATTTCAGTTGGACACCTCATGCAGCTGGTTGATAGAAAAGTACACAGTATTTCTATATTGGCCTAACTGTATATTAACTACAATAAACACATTACTTAAAGAGCATTTATGTGATTTGGTGTTTGGTGGTACCTGCAGGAGGCGCTCTTGTTCCATCTGCCATTTCTCCTGCCGCCGCCTCTCCTCCTCATGATCCCATGACCAGCGAGAGGAGGTGGTACTGATGGAGGGAACCTGCAGCTGATAGAAAAAACAGAAAATAAGGATAAAGGAACCAAAAGGTAAACCATCAGCACACTGATAAATCAGAATTTAAGATAAAGACCTAGAATAAAGACTAAATGTGAATGACAGATGCGACTCACATCAGAGATGGCAGATTCCGAGCCACCTAGTAAAAGAGGAGGGGACAAAGATGATCCATTTAAAAAGCATAATAAAGCACACACATAGCCATGAGTTTTCCATGCCTTTAACCTGCTGGTTCATGCTGCTCAGTGGATTCGGACACACCCCCTTGCTCATATGACAAAACCGTACCCAAAGCCACCGCGGTCAAGAGAGCACACAACAAATTATCACTCATATGCTGGTATGCAGGCTTTAAACAACACGCAAGACTGAGAAAAACATGATGAGAGTGCAAAAAACACCTCAGAGAAGTAGTGCACGCCATAGAATTAAAAGCACTTAAATTGCAGAGGAATCAAATCACGGAACGGCACCAAATCATAAGAGACTAGCCAACTCAAAATTGTCTTTGTAAACAACTCTGCAAAAGATATATGAACACCCCCTTGCTCATATGACAAAACCGTACCCAAAGCCACCGCGGTCAAGAGAGCACACAACAAATTATCACTCATATGCTGGTATGCAGGCTTTAAACAACACGCAAGACTGAGAAAAACATGATGAGAGTGCAAAAAACACCTCAGAGAAGTAGTGCACGCCATAGAATTAAAAGCACTTAAATTGCAGAGGAATCAAATCACGGAACGGCACAAAATTATAAGAGACTAGCCAACTCAAAATTGTCTTTGTAAACAACTCTGCAAAAGAATCAGGAATCACAACAGATACAGAAAAAAGACAGAAAGAGACAAACCGCAGTCCTCACACACAGTCAATTACAGTGCATCACAGCACACATCTTTATTTACCACAGAGATAGACCCAGGAGCTAACAGTGACACCTGAAGGACAGAGCATTAGCTTTAAGAGCAATACAATGGAAAGCAACAGAAACCCACTAAGCAATTTCAGATCTTACTGCTCAGTCCTAGAGCTTGACTTTAAAAAAGCTTTTTGTACATACAGTAGTGAGAAAAGAGCATGTCAAATGTTAACTTAAATGGGGGACAGATTTAATGTGTGTACTAAATGCTTTAGTTAGTCAGGCCCTTAGAACGCAGAATAAGCAAACCCATCTGTTTTTGAGCGAAATCAGATATTAATATTCAACAGAACAGACCGCACCAATACACTCCATTAAGAGTGTGCTTAATACAAATCAGTCACAGTATAATTAAATGAATAAGCTGCAGTGATCGATTAGCCGCGTAGCATTAAACGGCTACAGCCTGAGTGATGCAGTTACCTTTTTGCATGAAATATTCTAACTTTCTTCTATGATTTTTCAAAACTATGTTCTCATAGTCTATAACACAAGTGGGGAGAGAACAGTGGAAAGAGACTGTCATTTTCCACATATTTGAGTGTCTTTTTTAAACAACATGAAAATTATTTAGTTTAACCCTGAACAAGAACAAAGTTTTGACTGCTGAAGGGGTCTTGAGCACCCACCTTTGTTTCTTAGAGAAACTGCATCGTCCTTGATACGTCCATTCACCATTTTAGGTAGAACTCCCTGAAAACATGTAAAATCAAATTAGACAAATAAACACTCATTTTATTAATTACTTAACATAGAATGTACACTACCAAATTATTGGGGTTGTTTTTTTTTTACATATATTTTTGAAAAAAGTCAAATAAATACAATAAAATTTGTTATTGCAGTTTTAAATAATTTGAATACATTTTAAAATACAATTTATTGCTGATAACAAAGCTGAATTTTCAGCAGCCATTACTCCAGTCTTCAGCGAGTAAACAGTTATGCTTACTATTTTTGTGGAAACAGCAAATTTTTTTTCCAGAAATCTCTCATGATTAGAAAGTTCAAAAGAACAGTATTTATTGGACATAGAAATCTTTTGTAACATTATAAAAAGTACTTGTTACTTATATTTAGCAAGGATGCAATAAATTGATTAAAAGCATTAATTTCCTGCAAACTAATTATAATTTATCCTGTTGAACGATAGTGTACCCCTTAAGCATTCAATGTACCACTAAGCAGATGAATTACCAACTTGGAGATAAGTATTAAAAATGACTACATTTAAACAACAACAGCTAAACTGATTGATTTCCCACAGTCCACCACATTCATTATACTCCTATTCTGACTCACATTAGCAGGCTGTCCGTTGACTTGTGTCTTCACCATGGTCTCTACTGGAGAGGTTGTGTTAATCGAGACGTACTGCTCGGGCCGCCCTATAAGTGTTGAATTGGCACTGGTCAAATTGATGGTCTTATGGCTCTTGTACGGTAGGAAAGGTTGGTCACTGCCCCAGTCTGTCCAGTACCCAAAACATACATCAGAAATGCCAAGTCACATGTTAGTGAACTTGCGATTTAGCGTTGTTGTGATTTGTGAAAATGGAATTTTAATTGGGTAAAAATATTGTCATAAGTGTCCATTAATGAAATCAAAGTGTGCTCATAATTATTCCCTTTGATGAAATTGAAACAAAGATTATTGATCCAGTGGTAAAGGGGGAAAAAAAATTAAGCACAGTGAACCCGCAGACTATTCAGACCTGACAGTGAGACTGACTGACAGACAGATAGACCACCTTCCCACAGTGACAGAAAGCAACAGATAAAGCATCTGAATCTGGAATGGCACCTTGACTTTCTGGTCTCATAAAAATCAGAAGCAGAAGGAACCATGCCAGAAATATATTTTAAGTGCTTCTTAAATCAGACTTTTTATATTACTATTTGATTGTGAGTGTGACGATGTTAAAAACATTAATTTGTTGTTAACGCTAAATTATTTCACAATAAAAATGTAAAAAAGAATGACATTTTAAATTATGCTGGTTAAATAGATGAACTTTGCTCAGCCTCACACCATCCAAGATGCAGATGCGTTTGTATCTTCAGATTTGGAGAAATTTAGCATTACATGTCTTGCTCACCAATGGATCCTCAGCCGTGAATGGGTGCCGTCAGAATGAGAGTCCAAACAGTTCATAAAACCATCACAATAATCCAAAAGTAATATAATTAATCCACAACCTGTGTCTTTGTATGAAATCCATCATTAAGATGTATTTAACTTCAAACCATATCTTCCGGCTAAAATATGAGTCCTCCATCCATAATATTGCTTTCTCCAGTGAAAAGGTCATCTTGTCTGAATCGGGAGAGAAATATGCACAGACCAAGCACTGCGTTTACACTGGTGGAAGCATTATTATGAATAGAGGACTTGTCTTTTAGCAATGGAGGCAACGGTTTGAAGTTAAAAAAAACGCCTTAATGGTCTTTTTTTTTATTTTATTTTTTATTTTTTTAACAAACGCACAGCTTTTCAGATTTTTTTTTTTTAACAGCTGTTTGGACTCTCATTCTGACGGCACCCATCCACTGCAGAGGATCTGTTGGCGAGCAAGTGATGTAATGTGAATTTCTTCAGATCTGTTCTGACTCAACTCAACTACATTTTGATGACCCAAGAGTGAGTAAAGTTAAAGCAAATTGTCAATTTTGAGTGGAGTATTCCTTTAACAGTGCTACATTCTCACAGACAGGTTCCACATCCTCACCGTTCTGGCCGTGTCGTCGGATGTCCATCAGTAAAGTGCCCTTTTGCTGTGCTGTGTTCATACTGCCCTTAAACTGCTCATAATTTATTTCAGCCACCCTGCATCCACCCAGTGCCACAATCTCATCACCCATCAGCAGACCACACAACTCTGCTGGGCTGCCTGTGTGATGCAGAGTAAGAAGAAGAAGCAGGACAAGGCTGTGCCTTCAAGTCAAACTGTGAGCGTACATAATCAGGTTTACTTCTAGATCTGGAACAACAGGACATTTTAGATTTGTATTGAATACAAATCTTGTTCTCGTGGGGTTTCATTCATTGGCATGTGAAACAATCTGTTGAAGTGTAAACAGGATGGTCAAAAAGTGTACAGTATATCTGTACAGTGGTGGCCAAAATTATTAGAACACTAGAATTTTCACCAGATAAAAAAAATGCAAATCTTTTGTTGTAGTGTGTCAGTAGGAAATGTCAGTTTACATTTCCAAACATTCATTTTGCCATTATTTGTAATAATCCAGTGAGATTTTTCTGACAACAGCCAGTGCTCCACACAGTGATCTGATCTGATCATCATCCAGTCTGTCTGGAATGACATGAAGAAACAGAACAAACTGAGACAGACTCAATCCAGAAGAACTGTGGCAACGTCTCCAAGATGCTTCAAGAGACCTAACTACCTGAAAAACTGTGCACAAGTGCACCTAAGGCAAAAGCTGCTTTAAATGCAAAGGTTGGTCACACCAAATGTTGATTTAATTTAGTTATAAATAGTTAAATTAATTGATAAAGAAAATCTATTTATGACGTTATTTCTGACAGCATCCTCGTTTTACAGCATTTTTACACAAGTACCTAAAACTTTTAACAGTACTGTAGCTTTGCAGGTAGGTTTCTTGAAGCATCTTGGAGACGTTGCCACAGTTCTTCTGGATTGAGTCTGTCTCAGTTTGTTCCGTTTCTTCATGTCATTCCAGACAGACTGGATGATGGCGAGATCAGATCTCTGTGTGCAGCACTGGCTGTTGTCAGACTCCTTGTGCAAACAAAAATCTCACTGGATTATTACAAATAATGGCAAAATGAATGTTTGGAAATGTAAACTGATATTTCCTACTGACACACTACAGCAAAATATATAAATAACTGACTTAAAACCATTTTTTTAGCTGGTGAAAATACTAATGTAAAATTCCATAATATATTTAATTGTATACAGTCTTATGTATACATATTTCAAATCGTATTATTCTCATGCTACAGCTCACCATATTCCTTTACTGAATGTCCTCACCTGTTCCCTAGTATTTGTATATGAAATATGTGTGCCCACAAAGTATTTAACTAGTCAAACAAATTGCCCTTTGGGGATTAATAAAATCAACACGCTTTTATACCAATAGGTGGTAACCTAATCAAACAATTGGTTTTAGAACAGAATTAGGGATGCCCGTTAGGATGTTATTTGTAATATTTACATCTTTACTATTTTTTTTCTACATTTATTTTACATTAATAATAAATAATTACATTTACTCTATCACAGCACATGCAAGTTCATAAAGAAAGTGTAGGGAAAGATTTCATTATTTCACATATGGATTCAATTATTTTTGTGCACGTGAGACAAGAGCACTGTTGCGGAAATCTACCTTAGCCAGATGTCTTGAATGTATTCAATAATGGTACACATACATTTTACCAAATTTAATTGCCAATATTCATGCTTTTTTTTTTGTGCATTCAGGTTTTCCTTCTGTAAAAAGATCAAAATGCATTAACTTCAAAAAATTAATCATAATATATTACCTGACTGACAGCCCTAATTATTACTGAAAACAACAGAACATACATCATTGATGAGGCTCTACATGTAGGTTAGTGTGTTTAGTGGAACTCTGGGGAAGGAGATCAACCTGAGCCTTCTCCACCTCAGCCTGTCTCATAACAGCACACGATACGGCTGATTAAAAGGATCCCAAGTGTCAGAGCCAAACGCTCTCAGTCTCTTCTGTACAATGAAACAGATGAAAGCTAATATAACATAGATGGTCTTTACCTTATATTTCCTGCATGCACGGCTGCCCTGACCTGCTTTTTGTTTTTATTTTTTTTTAATTAATTTATTTATTTTTTAAGCGCACCGGTCACAGTTGAATGCTCAAGCTCCTCTCATTCATGAGGACACATCCTAAACTCAGGACCAGACTCCCTACAGGACTTCTTTAGTTTAAGCAATCAGACTAATGCACAGTAAGAAACACCTTCACTGTTCTCTATAAATCATTCATCTCAATCTCACTCCAGAATTCTGAGAATGACACAGTGTGGCTGAACAGAAGCGCACATGGGAATTAAAGTGCAACACTCCTTGCGTTATCAAATTAAAGAAACGAATAAATATGCCAAAAACAAACAAACAAACAAACAAAAAAAAAAACACCATTCATCATGAATTCTCAAAGCAGCAAATTGAGAAAACTTTTAGGCTATTAAGCATTTTTTATTTTTACTCAAAGAAATGCTAAATGCACAGATCTCATCTCCATTCATCCATAAATGCACACCACCCTATTTCTCTAAACAGAGATTCTGTATGGTTGAAACAACCATATATTACCTTTCAACCTCTATTAATTATATCTAAACAGTTTGCTTGGAACCATTTTAAATTATAAGTCTTACCTGGTTGAACAGATTTCACACAAGCACCAGTTGAGTCCCAGTGAGCCTTGAATCCAAAGTCTCTCCCACTGTTTGGCTTCTGATTCAAACAGACTCGCATTTCACTTTGACCCACCTGAGAAAGAGAGGGAGAGAGAGCGAGAGATACACAGGTAGAGAATGTGACACCTGAGGATCCCATGACACCATCTTCAAGAAATCTGCTCCAGTCAGTATAACACAAACAAAACAAACAATTTTCTATGAGAACTCATTTAACATTAAGTAATTGTATACATGTATATTTACAGCACATACTGTATTATTATTTCATAAGAATATAGAACTGTTTTCATCCACTGAGTGTTCTAGTTAGGTTAAGGATATCCTGGACGTCATGATTTAATTTACTCGATTCTGATTGTCAAGCAGCCTACCTTAATATCCCTGATTTCAGAGACAGCAGGAGGAGATGTTTGTATATTGGAGGCGACCATAGTCACTTTAGTGACAAACGAGTTAATTGGAGGCGCTGACAACCTTCCATCTCTTCTCTCTTCTTCTTCCTTCTTGATTGGATGAGTGCTTGAACGAAAGTGGCCCGTGTCAGCAGAGGCGGTGACCTTTCCTTGACCACTAAGGAAAGAGGGGACGATTGAATGGTCTCCGTTCCCACTGATCAGGCTTTTATGAGAGTCGTCCATCTGCAGAAACCCAAGATAAAAACAAATAAAGAGGCTACTTCCCTCTACAACCACTTCAGCACTGGCAGTGCCAAATTCTGTTTGATATTGAGACTCAGCAGACTGCATTATAAAAGATATTTATGAAGAAAGAGCATTAAAATGAAATTAGGGACTGTATTTAAGAGCACTGGGGGGAAAAATGGAATATGACCCTATTTATTTTATTTTGCATTTTATGTTATATTTTATATTATTAGATTCCAGGTCTTCATATAAATGACTGATACAGAGAATACATTATTGCTTTTGTTCGAGATACGGTGACCAAAGACTGCGTGTGACCATGCACGGTTGAGAAGCTCGTCATGGAAAAGAGCACACACACAACAAAGTCACATCTTGGGTTTCACAAAGCACCCAGAGTGCAGAGCAGTAGTAGTGGCTTTATCCATTATTAATAAGCCAGTCGCTAGATGATCAGGTGATGAGGAGTAACACTAAACTTCACACACACAGAATACTGAACAAACTACCACTCTTCCTCATCGCCCACTCCTTTATCAGGTGTGTTTATCAACCATTTAGCTACTATTTAGAAACTAACAGTTACTGTAAGGCAAGACTCTGGGTTTAAAAGTATACTGTAAGTGCTACTGGAAGTAAATGATGGGTAATATTGTCATTATATATAGTGATTACTGATGATCTAAAATTTAAGTCATATCATGAATATTACAATAATTGTATTGCACCCTTTTTAACTGACCATTACATTTCCATAAGAGCATTACACTAGTACGGCAATCGTTTTCGCTCTCATGACTGGCGAATATGGAAGCGATAAGACGAAGATGTTAAATGTCTCTAATCTGCAGTTCAATAAAAACTAAATTATAGACTGGATTAATTTCCTTGATTTAGCTTAAACTGATTCAATCATTTGAAACCGTCCGAGTCAAAATAAGACAAATAGCTAGTATAATGGCTATTTGGGTGATATGTCTTCTAACTGAATGTATGTAAGCCATTTCAAATGCAAATATATTAAGAATATCACTAAAAAAATTAATTTGAGAATTTCTTTAGCTCTACTAATGACCACCGCATACTTTCCAGGTATCACTGCGCGCTTTCACTTTAGTTTGTTTCGGTCTAGATGCATACTGTCCCAACACTAACCAATCAGACCTCAAGGTACCATGCAAGATGGTCCCATAACCAATCAGAAAATACACTTTTAAATTGTGTGATTGTTTTCATGATTGATCATTGATGTTACTTTTAAGTACTCTGGTAATTGTGCCCATCCTTACAAAAACTAAGCTTTTATACAAGTTCAAATGTCAAACCTTTGTGTCATGAAATAAGCAGTATTATTAATATGAATTCATGGTCCTGATGGAGTGGAATATTCAGGGTACAAAGAAAAAAAACTAGGGATGCACGATATATCGGCCACCATATCGGTATCGGCCGATAAATGCTAATTTTTTCTGTTATCGGTATCGGCCTGATAAGGTTATCGGTATTGGCCAAAATGTTCATATCGGTGCATCCCTAAAAAAAACTACACTACACAGAGAAAGTACCGCAGTTGCTGCATTATGAATCAAACAATGAGATACTAAACACAATGTGAAATGGACACAGATAGCAAAAATCTGAATTAAAAGCCTCTACTCCAATCCAGACTCACATGAAGACATTTTAATCTGATTTCTTTTATGAATAAAAGAATGTCATCTTTATTGTGCAAGGCTAATAATGGGCACTTACTGAATATACTCTGGGCAGTGAAGACACTTTGGAGGGTTTGGCTCCAAATGGACGTGGGGTGACGCCCGTGGAGAGGCGCGAGGAACCTTCTGACCTTCTGAAACCTCTGGGTAGAGTGGCAGATACTCGTGCTCCCCCTGCATAAAAGCTCTCCAGGAGGCTTGCACGGCAGCTGAAGTCTGGACCCTGCTGCTCGTACGGTTCTGGATCCATGGTAGTCAGGCTGGTCAGTGAACTCTGTTCAGAGACAACAGCTGATGGAGGGGTGAAGAATTCACCAGCTGAGTCAGTCGTCTCCGCGTCAGTGCCTCTGGTCAGAGCAGATGTCCCGTTCGTGAGGGGTAAAGTCGAGGTGGTGGACCACCCAGTACTGCTGACACTGGAGCCCGCATCACTCATGGGTCCAGGCATGTTGGAGCTGGAAGAGAGTGAACCGGCAACTGGAGTGAATGGCTGATCTGATCCCGGGGCAGGAGTTTAAGGATGGGCAGGACTCTACTGGAAAGCACATGGCTGTTAGTGGTTACCTGTGAACTAAAGGGTGGGAAGGGGAGCGGGGGGTGGACAGGGCTTGGAGGACAGGTGTAACTATCAAATGTCTCCATTATCCACAAGTGAACACCAAGTGGTAACACTTTAGAATAACATTCAATTTGTTAACATCAGTTAATGCACCAAGTATTACGAACTACATTTTTAGAGCATTTATTAATCTTGGGGGATGTTGACTTATAAATATAGCTAACTTTTCTTCATTGATAAATTCAGTAGTTTGGTACACATTAGGAAATAAATAGGAATGGGAAATGTTTTTGTGAAGTCATTTGAAATGCTAGAACTGTAGTTTAGTTTCATGATGTGAAAAGTGAAAATTAAACACTGTTGTTTACCAACTGAGACAAGAATATCCGTACCTGCTGGCCTGATGCCAGACGACAGAAATAAAGACTAAAGGTGGAGGGGGGGGCAGATATAAATGTAATAAAACAATCATACTAATCCATGTCAATAGATGGCAGTGCAGCATCTAATACCAATGTGGTATTGTTACTTAAAGTACACTGAGAACAGTGATTCTAATGCTAGAGAACTACTTAACTCTTTAGCTGCTATTGACAATGTTTCGTATTTTTGTATTTTCACTATTATACGGTAGGGGGTGCCATTACACATCTTCTCAAAGAGTCCTAAAGGTCCCTGGATCAAAATGTAATACAAAGTTCTGTCATGAAACTCTAGATGGTGCAGGCCGATAGGTTCTAACTAGGTCTAATATAATTACATCATCATTCACATGGCACAGCTGATTGGTTTCTTTTCTGAATGTTGAGAAGCCAATGTGCCTTCTCAACATTCAAATACTTGGCTAGTGCTTGCTGTAGCAGTTTCAGTGCACTTCAGAAACCCTCCACCTTCCCCAGCTCCACCTGTATCTGTTACGGTGTGCTTTCATGTATGTGTGCAGCAGCAGTTTTTACTACAAATAATATAACTACCATGTATATTACCAAGCTAAAGTCTCCGAGAGTTGTCATGACAGAACTACTATATACAGGTGCATCTCAATAAATTAGAATGTCGTGGAAAAGTTCATTTCAGTAATTCAACTCAAATTGTGAAACTCGTGTATTAAATAAATTCAATGCACACAGACTGAAGTAGTTTAAGTCTTTGGTTCTTTTAACTGTGATGATTTTGGCTCACATTTAACAAAAACCCACCAATTCATTCTCAACAAATTAGAATATGGTGACATGCCAATCAGCTAATCAACTCAAAACACCTGCAAAGGTTTCCTGAGCCTTCAAAATGGTCTCTCAGTTTGGTTCACTAAGCTACACAATCATGGGGAAGACTGCTGATCTGACAGTTGTCCAGAAGACAATCACTGAAACCCTTCACAAGGAGGGTAAGCCACAAACATTAATTGCCAAAGAAACTGGCTGTTCACAGAGTGCTGTATCCAAGCATGTTAACAGAAAGTTGAGTGGAAGGAAAAAGTGTGGAAGAAAAAGATGCACAACCAACCGAGAGAACCGCAGCCTTATGAGGATTGTCAAGCAAAATCGATTCAAGAATTTGAGTGAACTTCACAAGGAATGGACTGAGGCTGCGCTACATGTAAACGATATACTTTGTTGTATTTCCCTGTAAAAATAACGAAGTTCCTTTGGAATTCTTCAGCTTTTAAGAACTGCCGGGTTTTCCTGT